CATGTTCCTGGCTGATACAGGTAATGCAGTGAAATACGTCAAATGTACCGGAGAGTCTCTTTGGTTAATGAAGCTACACTCTTAAAAATAAAGGTGCTTCACGATGCCATAGAAGAACCTTTTTGTCTAAATGGTTCCATAAAGAGCCTTTAACATCTGAAGAACCTTTCTGTTTCACAAAAGGTTCTTTGTGGCGAAAGAAGGTTCTCCAGGTTATAAAAAGGTAAGAAAGAGATGGTTCTTTAAAGAACCTTTGACTGAATGGTTCTTTGTGGAACCAAAAATGGTTCTTCTATGGCATCGCTTGAAGAACCTTTTGAAGCACCTTTATTTTTAAGAGTAGTGTTTTAGTAAGTGGGCAGGACTTGTCAATAATCATCTGTCAGTCGTTCTCCTCCCAGTTGAGCCTTGGTTAAAGATAAAGTGTGTAACCTCAATGCTTCTAGAAGAACTGCAAACATTTTCAAACTGTTATCCATTAGTGAGAATGCATGAGATGGGGAAGCATAACGGGGCATCTGAGGACTGACGTATTGATCCAGCGTCTCTACAGCAGAACAGCTTCAGAAGGGCTGACTACTGTATGCAAACTCATCTGTGCTATCTGCCTCATGTACACTGTACCGTGTCAAAGCATGCACGCAGATCTGAAAAACACATGAAATATTAAATATGTTGTCTAAGCTGGTCCACAGAATTCATCTCCTCATGCTGTGAATCTGCACATTTAGTTCAGAAGCTGCACTACTAGAGATTTGTTACATTTACCTATGTGTATTTACTATTGATTGTTGATTTTATAGTTATTTATATTGATGTGTATAATGAAACATTTAATATTTAGAATGAAATTGTTAATTCACTGTCAGAAAATCCTTCAGGGGTACTAACAGCTTGTCACTGGGGCAGTTCCCTCAAAAGAAACACCTTTGTACCTTCTTTACCCCGAAGGGTGAATATTAGCGCCTCAAGAGTAGTAATTTGTACCCTTAAGATAGTAACATGTACTCTTGTGGTATTATTATGCACCCTTTAGGGGTAAAGCTGGTCAGTTTGAGGGAACTGCTCCAGTGACACGCTGTTTTCTGAGAGTGTAAAAAGCGTATGGATTGTATTTCATGTCACATTTGTATTTTTCACAAGCTTTTCTTGGGCGAGTTGGAGTGAACTGCAGCGCTAATAGTCTCATGATGGCCAAGTCAGGATATTCGTTAAATAATAAGTTAGATTTCAATTTTTTTCTCACCAAACCCTATCGTATACCCACAGAACACTTGGAATATACGGCATGCGATTTCATTTTCATTTTTGGATGAACTGTCCCTTTAAAGCCGTTATAAAATAGCCGCAAACATTCGACCTTTGCTTGTGCTGAATCCCAATGATCATACTGGTTATGTACACCTTGGATGCACTGTAAATTACTATCAATAAAAACATCTGGCATTTGCATAAACGTTAATCTTAATGTTTACTTACAAGCACAATTTTTGCAATGTAAAGGTTTCACACAACTTCTAATGGCTCGAATAACTTAATTTCATCTCACTGCAGTATGACTTCACAATAAGGACAGCTGTTCAGATGCCATTAATAAAGTATTATACAACAACTGCACGAATCATATTTCATTCAGTGAGTCATGTGTTATAAATGATAAATGATGATTTATGGCAGTTTAAGAGAGATTAGCCCATTTCCAGCGCAGCAATGCAGTTCATTTACAGACTAACATGACAACTACTGTACTGATACTGTACATGTGAGAGCGTTTCTCATCCTCACGTGAAGCTGACAGTGTTTGGGACGCTGCTCTGAACCCGTATCTCACTAAGTTACAAGGTACTCTATGAAAAAGTATTTTTAACTGATTGCTCAAATGAAGTGCATATTGAATCAGACTTTCAGACTCCTGTTGTTTGGCTGTAAAGCTGCAGGCAAAACTCACTGTGACAAAAACAATGTCATTTTACACCATCACTCCCTGGAAAAACAAGCCTGTTACCACAAAAGCTAAAACCAGCTACTACACTCACACTACTAAACAATGTTGCTAGTTAGCAGTCTCTCTACTGATCAGTGTGTACAGACAAACAGCACTGACTATTTTCATAGTATTGCACTTTCATCACTGCTAAAGTCTGGATTTAGAGTAAATGAGTAAATGATGAGTAAATGATTTTTCAGTTGTGCGAATAGTTCTGCTATAGGTTTACTCACAGAAGACAAACCAATTCGTCTGCCTGTTTCATTGCCATTAAACAAAATGCAATGCTCTAAGCCCTCGGGCCCCAAGTCCTCCTCCGAGGCCACGCTTTGGTGACGTAATGCCGCATAGGCTGTGGGGTAGTGGACCGCTGTGGGGCTCGACTACAGGACACTTGAGGGGGCGCTCGTGAGCAACCTGCTGGGACATGATGTTCACTGTAACAACCCAAGATCAAGTGCAACATTTGGGACAGAGCCTATGAGATTCCAACAACTACATGACATTCATGTAACAAACCAGAGCTGAATGCATCAGCAAGAATGTAGGTTTGCGGCTGAACACATGATTCTGAGGCTGATGATGTGTGAAGAACAGCATCTTGGGATGTGTGTGAGGGGAGAAGCTGCCAAACATCTGCTGCTGTGCTGTGATGAGGTGATCTATGAAAATAACACTTGCAAAAGCGACTGCTGTTAAATCCTGAAACGCTTATGTGACTAAAAATGCAGGACTTACAGTGTTCAGAACTCACTGCCACTATGCCAGGATGTTGTTATGTGGTGGCTATGTGCTCTGAGGGTTTTTTAGTCGCTAGCTGTTGTTAAGGTGGTTTCTAAAGGCCCAGGTATACTTCATTTTCTGCGTTCTGCAACACATGCGCAGTACAATAGATTTTTATACTCTCCCAGACATCAGAGGGCAGCACTGAGTCATGTCATTCACAGGACATTCGAAAAAGAAAAATAGAGAATCTGCCATTTAATGCAAAGTTAGAACAAAAAATGAAGCAAAATATATGCTATGTGTTTTTCTTCTATTTTGTTTTGTATTGTACTCTTCTTCAACTAATGTACAGTACAACACAACAGTGCATATTGCCAGTCACCTTGCGCATGCGCTGTTGTACGTGCAAAGCAGATGCTCGAAGTATACTTTAGGCTTAAAGTCCCCATGAAATCAAAATTAAAGTTTTTTGGGTGTTAGTATCAATATGTTAGTCTTAAGGTTATCTATAAGGCAGTGTGCTCCAAAACAGTGACAAAATTTTTACGGAGCTCAACGGCTCTGAACGGTTCTAGCCCAAGCTGTGATATAAACGAACGCTACTGGCTATTTAAAAAGGGGGCGGGGCTGCTTGATATGTCCCACCCTGTCTTCCTGTTTCAGTTAAAATGACGTCAACACATAGAGTAACGCTGCGTGTTTCTAAGCATTTCAGGGGACCTTTAAGTGTTTTCAATCTATCTAGCATGAAAGTCTCTGAGATGTTCTGGTTTCTAGGGTCCCTACTTCAGGATGACACACGCTGAAGTTTAACATTATGAACTCTAATAGCGAAAAAGCTACATTATTGAATGTCTGCTATTTCTATTTACAATTCAAACAATGTATAATGATCAGCATTGTACTGTATTTCCAGTCTTTTAGAGCTTGAATGTATCTAACTATATGAAATGCATCTGATTTATTTTTTTTTTTACAGAATTGATGCAACACAGCGATTCATTATGGGCCTATAATAATGAAGCATGCCTTAGACAGGTTTATTTGTATTGAATGGCGGTAGATCACAAAGCTGCCCCCCACCCACTCAAAACCCTGCAGTCCCTGAGCTAATGATTAATACTGTACTCTGTGCACAAACACAAAGACAAGCTGTGAATAAAAGATAAAAAGATCCCTCCAGGATAACGCAAACCATTTGACCTCATCCGCGGCGTTCACGCCGTGTGACAGACGATCTGGCACCGCGGGCTGCACTTCTGTCTGTCACAGCCCGGCTGTGGGCTCGTGAGCGACCGGCACATGTGCGCGGGGATGACGCATCAGAATGCAACATGCACTAACCTGATCCCCTACAGATACAATCATACACCCCCACACACGCGGGTAATGAGCGAGCCTCCCGCTACCGGGCATGATGAAGGACGAGCCACAGCAGCAGCAGCAGAAGTCAATTTCTGCAGTAATTACAGCAGACACACATTTACAGCTGAAGCACTTGTGCATATGACACCTACTGCACGACTAAAATGCAGAGCATGCAGTTGTCTACCACTTATGAAATCAGCTTAACCTGTTCAGATATTACATTGCTGCATAAAAATTCGATATAATGTTTTCAAGTACATTTTTCAACATCTTCATAACAAGTTTGCTGTAATAGAACATTTCAGCTAAGATTTTAGTACATAATGATCCACAGCACTACTGTCAATGTCACTGACGTCGGTACAGATGAGATTCCCCTTGTGTTCTTACCTAGCCCATCCACCACTTCCCCCCCAAAAAAACCTTGTTTGTCGCAGTGAAGCTACTACTCTGGAGGTCACCGCCATACATCTTTCCCTGACCGCGTCAAAAATCTACATCCGCACGACAAACTTTACACCACCTGACTTACTCTGAAGCGGTTTAACTCAACAGCATCAGGAACCGTCCCCGTCGCCGCTCGGCAGCAAGATCTGTCTGCGCTCAGGCGGGTCTGAGGGCACCCATGCAGAAGAGCTTTGACATAATCCCATTCAACTGTAACTGGGGCTTCCAGAGGAGAAAAAACAGCCGTGACACTGGTCAGGGGCTCCGCAGGCTCGTTTGAGACACGGGGAGAAACCTAATGTGTCCCCACCTGCCAGCATGCCAACCTTCTGCATTTGAAGGGCAGAGACACACACATGCATTTCAGCACAGCTGCTCCACGTTCCTGCACGCCGCATTGAGGATCGCCGCCGCAAACATGCATTAACCGTAAAACGATGCGGCACTAGTAGCATAGGTGAGTTTTACTTACTGAACCAGACGATCATGTCAAATCCACAACGCTGTGAGTCACAGAGAAGAGAAATCACCCTTCAGCATCTGTACCGAGAGACGCGCACACACACAGCCTCAACCATACTACACAACACACTGACGGAGAGAGAGAGAGAGAGGGAGAGAGAGAGGTGGAGGGAGGGAGTGAACCCTGCAGAACACAGAGAGAGAGACATGAAGAGATGGGAACAAGATTAGATAAATAGATAGATAGATAGATAGATAGATAGATAGTAGGGATGGGAGATACGGGCTTAAAAAAATATCACGATATTTCTGGTATTTATTGTGATAACGATATCAATTACGATAATTCAGGGAATCCTGTTTCTTTAGAAAAAAGTATTATCTTTCCTTTTTTTACCCAAAATAGCATTAATGAGTACACACGTAATGTTAAGACTGTTTAATTAATACTGGAAGCCGGAGGGCGCTCTTGCACAGAAACTCCACATATCCATAGCAGAAGTAATACTACTGACGACGCTCCAGGAAGGTATCCAGTTATCGCTGAATAAAATGCACAACGAGAAAGAGACATTTTAATTGATGAAACTTGAGGAAAATAAACATACAATTGCACAAAATATATGGCTTATCAGTGTTCTTCAATCTTGGGTATTTTTATAAGGAAAGTATATTTATAATGCAATGTTAATCGACATGGCCTTTATCACTGTATATAATACTATCATTCTGTAATATGAAACCACGTCTGGTCACAAAAAGAAGTATTTCAAACACTCGACTGTTATTAAGTTAATTTGGAGAAAAAGCATGTCAATAAATTATATCTTTGTTGGACAGCAGGTTTGTAAACAGGCTCATACACATGCAAAACTGTATCGCACACGTGCTACTGTAGTACATTTATTCAGACCGATTTTTTGTGCACTGTACAGCCCTAACCAAACCAGTTACAGATTGTAAAAGGAGCTCAAGCTCCTCATTTACCGATATAGGCTGCTCCTCCTCAATTTCACATCCACCTTCCACGATGTTGCTCCGCACTGTCGCACACAGAAATATGTCAACAACTAGACCTTATCATTATTATCGCGAATTCTTATCGTGGGGAGAATTTTTACCGGTATATAGCAAACGATAAGATATCGCACATCCCTAATAGATAGATAGATAGATAGATATCTGTTTCTGTGGGAATTTTGTCCATTTATTCAGTTTTTTTTTTTTTTAAGTCAGACACTGATGTTGGATGAGAGGGTCGCAATCTCTGTACCAGTTCATCCAAATGTGTTGGGGCTCTGTGTGGGCTCTTCCACATAGAACTCATTTTTATGGACCTTGATTTGTGCAAACGGGATATAACGCCCTCCGAAGGGCACTTTTTCAATTCACTTTGAAGGAATTAGGGCATAGGGATGAGTCCTTCCGAATGGAACGCAGGGTGGAATAGAAAAGGGACTTCCATGTCTTGGTATGCTGACACATTATGATTTGAAGGGGCTCGCCCAACCCCCTGAAAAACAGCCCCATACCATTATCCCTCCTCCTCCTCCAAACTTCACCAAACAGTTGTCAGGATGCAGTCAGGCAGGCAACGTTCTCCTGGTATCCAGAAAACCTAGACTCACCCATTAGACTGCCTAACAGAGAAGTATGATTCATGACTCCACAGAACAGGTTTCCACTGCTCCAGAGTCCATTGTCAGCATGGTTTACACCACTCCATCTCACTCTTGCCATTGTACTTGGTGATTGTGAGACTTGCATGCAGCTGCTTGGCCATAGAAAACAATTCCATGAAGTTCCCGCCGCACAGTTTTTGAGAGGATTATTAATGCCAGTGGAAGTTTGGAAATTTTCAGCTATGGAATCAGCAGAGCATTGGCGACTTTTTCACACCAGGCACCTCAGCACTCGATGACCTGCTCTGTGACTGGTCTTCCACCTCATGGTTGACTTGCTGCTAATTTCCATTAATACCACTTACAGTTGACTTTGGAATATCTGGCAGAGACTAAATTTAATGAACTGACTTATTGCAAAGGTGGCATCACAGTATTCATGACCCTTTTTTCACAAATGTTTGTAAATGAAGACTGCATGGCGAGGTGCTTGATTATATACACCTGTGAAACCAGTGTGGACCTCATCAAAAGTCACTCATCACTAAATACCGCTACAGCAGCCAGGACTTCTTCTAGAGACATAAAGAATAAGAATCTCTTACTCAAAGCTGTCAGATCCAAAAAAATACAAGTTCAAGGTATGTTGAATCTTATAAAATATGTTTCCATAGTCTAATAAAGGAACATGAATTAATTGTTACTTAAGGAAATTTATTTTAGTATAAAATGTGATTTTTACCTACTAGCCTGTTACTCAGTTCTTAAATTCAGCAGGCTGAATAGGTCCTGTGGAGTACACTTGAGTGCAGTCATGGAACCAGTTACCATTAACAAAGCTTATTGATGATTTTAAACGTTATAATCCAATCATCATCTGTATATAATATTCTAATAGTAAATTTATCTCTCATGTATATTCTGCACTGTCTTGCAAACTTGCATCTACAACCCTCTACAATGCGAATAAATCGCTTGCATATGTGACTAAACTTTAATGCTGGGTGAGTAAATAATGTATAACATTACCCACTGGCTAATAAATTGTTAGATTTCACTCACCAGTTTGGGAGTTAGAGGTTAAGTATAAGTTTAACACAGATATATTTTCACTCGCTGAACACTCTGACTGTGTGCTTGAGATTAAAGCACACTTTTTCAATTCTTATCAGTAGGTGCGCAGCATATTTGACGCACTGTAAAGTCTAGTGTGAAGGTGCCTGTCTTGCTGTTGCTTGGTTGAAAGTGTTCAGTGTTTCTCTCACACATGTTAGACAGATGGAGCGAGAGAGTCATACTCTAACATACCATGCAGAATTGATGCACTAAATGTAAATAATATTTTCTGTTGTATATTTCTGTCAAAATACTATGCAGAAATATATTTTAGCAGCTCATTTAGAATTATTCATAAATTGGTATTATCAGTAGAAGGAAAATGGTTCCTTCAGTAGTTGGTGGAACTTATAAACAAACACCAATCTCATTGGCTGGCACTCACCAACTACCGTCCCTGTTTTGATTTCAGCAAATCAGTTCAAGCGAACGCAGAAAACGTTATTAATATTCATTAACCCAGCAGCTCACCAATCCTTCGACCATTTTGTATTGTTATTAGTAGTAGACTTAGTAGTATTTTTTATCCAAATGTTATGATTTTTTTTTTATTGTATTATTACTATTATTTTATTTTATTTTTTACAGATGGACGGATGGATAAATCGATCTGCAGTAATTAAAATAAACATAAGAACAAAATACTGTAGAAACACTACATGTTAATTAAAGAGGGATACAGGAATAGATCTTGCTGCTCTGAGCCCCTCCCTCACTGTCTCTCTCTCTCTCTCTCTGGTGACAGTCCACATCCCTGGAGACAGAGAGACAACAGAAGCAAGACTCCACACTCTATTCAAACTATTAATCTTCACCTCCTGAGTTAACCCTTACTAAACAGATAAACCTACCTAGAGCACACTTCTGATCTGTCGCTATATAACACTCTAAATTGGGATATTCCAGACTTCTATTGGTTTTATAAACAGCTAGTTATAAATACTACTGTATAGAACAGAAAGGAGGAGGGGGGGGGGGGATTTTTATACTGTTTTACATCCCCAAAAGGAGGTTTTGCCAGATATTTAGGTCACTTCTGGATACAAATTTGTCCCTAAAATATATTTAAGCTGGTACACAAACACAGCTTCATTCATACTCATAGGTGTTTTGGAGCACACATGCATGTATCCTCACGGGACACAAGTGCTGCATGAGCCAATCCTGCACAATCAAATAAAGTTGTCTGAGGTAATGGTACACAGGTCTGTTTACCACTGATTCGCTCATTCGCCAGGTCAATCCACATGGACCTCCCATTCCTCCAGCACATCGTGTGCCATCGAGCTTCTGAGAGAGATTGTGGGCCCGTTGCATGGTGGCCCTAGCATCTCCTATGGGGCTCCGGAAGAGGGACTGGATGCTGAAAGATGTAGTGTTGTGTCCGATTCCACCTTGTTGAGTCCAATTCGAGTCGTTTTTAATCAATTAAGATTGAGTGGAATAACACATAACATGGAATTTTCTGTACTCTGGAAAATTTTGTGTCCAAATCTGAGTCCAAGTACCCCAACACTAAATGGCACCAGCTGCCAAACCTGCCAATTGGACAGAAAAGCGGCCCTGAGACAGGCAACCCAGAGATGGAGGAAAGCTAATGTTTATCAAGAGGTGGTGATAGTACCACTTCTTCCTCCAGAGGAGAGCCAGGTGGAGAATCCTTTGTTTCCATTCTTCCACTGGCTCAGTGGCCAGTGGTGCCCAAATTTTCAATGAAAGAGCAATTTCCTCAGTCTTTGGGTCATACTGGGTGTAGTCTGGCAGTGAGCAATGATGTGCCTCCTCGCTTGCTTCCCCATCCCCTCCTTTTGCCACAGGCCAAGAGCTTGCATTTCGAGGACACATTGCTTTCTTGCGGGATCCATGGAACAGGTAAGAGTCACTCTTTAATCACTGCTTTTACTTCGGGATGCATCACCTCCTGAGTTGCGCCTCAGTGGTCCTCCTCACTGCCCCTCCACGGGCAGGTTGGTTGTCTCTTTGGTGCCACACAGAGCTTGGGAGCCTGGCTAGTGCTTCCCAGGCCATCCTGCTGGCTCATTCAGACAATCAGACTCAGTTCACCAGGCATCCCCCCCAGGTTCAGCGGCCTTCTTTTCACCTCAATGGCAGACAAAGACAACCCTGTTGGCAAAGGACGCACTAGAACCTGTCCCTCCAGCCAAGATGAAGCAGAGCCTACAACCCTTACTTCCACAAGATGACTTGCAACCCCCAAGACTGGTTCGCTGTAATTGACCTGAAGGAAGCACACTTACACATTGTGGTTTTGGCTCAACACAGACCTTTTCTTCAGTTTGCTTTCAAAAGTAGGGCATATCTGCACGTTCCACCTCTTTGGGTTGTCCCTGTCTCCACGCATCTTCACAAAAGTTGCA